GAGCATCACAAGTTTCGAAAAGATGGCGCGAACTATTAAACGATGACATCACCTGGATGAACCTGTGCGAGAAGCATTCATATGCCTATCAGCGACCTTCGAATGACGATCGAGACATTGTGGACCCTGTTGACGGCCAGCCTCTCCATGCTGTATCTACCACTCATTCGCTGAGCGCGTTGCAGAGCACGTCCACGGTGTCCAGCCTCCAATCTCGGGACGGCTTTCCGGGACTCCCACGTTCCTTATCTGGAGACTGGCTCTCCTCATCGAGCTACTCGTCCCGGAGACGGCGCATCCGACCCGTTTCTTACAGATCGCATTTCAAACAGAGATACATGGTTGAATCGGCTTGGAATAAAGGCGGGCGCTGCACGCAAAGACATATGAGCCCTGATCAGGGAGTGGTTACGAGCCTCCACTTGACTTCGAAATATATCGTGGTTGCGCTCGACAACGCCAAGATTCATGTGTATGATACCAATGGAGACAACCAGAAAACCCTTCAAGGTCATGTAATGGGCGTCTGGGCTATGGTCCCATGGGATGATATTCTTGTAAGTGGTGGGTGCGATCGAGAAGTCCGGGTGTGGAACATGGCCACAGGGTAAGCCGACCACAAGCAAGTTCCGAGCAGAATATGGATTACTTCAATACTAATGATTTGTTTGCACTAGGGCTGCAATATACCTATTGCGTGGCCACACGTCCACAGTGCGCTGTTTGAAAATGTCTGACAAGAACACGGCTATTTCCGGCTCACGAGACACGACCCTGCGGATCTGGGATCTCTCCACAGGCACTTGCAAGAATGTTTTGGTCGGACACCAGGCAAGTGTTCGTTGCCTAGCCATACATGGCGATCTCGTCGTTTCCGGCAGCTACGATACCACGGCACGAATCTGGAGCATATCTGAGGGACGGTGCCTGAGGACTTTGTCAGGTCATTTTAGCCAGATATATGCGGTCGCCTTCGATGGTAAGCGCATCGCAACAGGTAGTCTGGATACTACTGTACGCATGTGGGACCCTGAAACCGGACAATGTAACGGCATCTTGCAGGGCCACACGTCTCTGGTTGGACAATTACAGATGCGTGGCGATACGCTGGTTACTGGAGGCTCCGACGGCGCAATCCGGATATGGTCGCTGGTCACGAATACACCCATTCATCGGCTGGCAGCGCACGACAACAGTGTGACAAGCCTGCAGTTCGACAGCTCTCGTATCGTTAGCGGTGGCAGTGACGGACGTGTCAAGATCTGGAGCTTGGAGACTGGTCAACTACTGCGGGAACTATCTACCCCGGCCGAGGCTGTCTGGAGAGTAGCCTTTGAGGCGGAGAAAGCAGTCATTATGGCGAATAGGTCAGGGCGGACGGTCATGGAGGTAAGCGCCCCCTTTGTTACTCCGAGCTGGTAAGAACAGAATCTAATGGCATTCGTAGGTATGGAATTTCTCGGCGCCGCCCGAAGATAGCGGGGACGAAGCCGCAATTGAAAGTACTGCCAGCACGCCAGGGCGTCTCATGAGCCCAGTTGAAAATCGACACCGAGAACGCTTTTCTGACCCCCCTCCCACGCTGCCCATAAGAAGTGATAATGATAACGATCAGTCAATGGTGGATGCTCCCTTGTCTTGATGGCAAGATGAGCCGTTCAGTCGATATTATGAGGACGCCTTATTCTCCAACTTTCAATGATCTCAAGCGCCGTCACCTCTGTACCTTGATGTTGGCTCCAGTGGAGTGTAGGCAGCATGACTGATTTCGGAACAGGCCCGATTGTGCTTGGTTCTTCTTCCATATATGCATTTTGGGTGTTGGGTAGGACATTTTGTTTGAATTGTGATTTTTCTCTTCTTCAAGCCCGCTGGAAACGTGGTGTGGAGTTAATTAAATGGCAGTTGGGGTTTTTCTTGTGCTGCTGGAGTATCAGAGAGGAATAACCCCAGCGGTGTTCCATGTTTTCTATATGTGCTTTGTGTGTTAGTTTTCATACGAGGGTTAGACGATACCTGTCTTGGGAAGATGCATTCAGATCTACAAAAGATTTTATCCTATGTGCCAGTGTTGTGGATCCATCCTAAGTGTAATGCTTGAGGTTTTGTCTCAGTTGAGAGAGTACAGTACTTGATTCATTTGTCAAAGTTGATGGGGTCACCTGACTCACTCTAGTTAGAGGCAGGGATCCTTTGAGCAGAAGGCTGCGACCCCTCCACAACATCATAATCATCGGCGCTAGTCACACTTCTTTTGTCTGCGCAACAAGTATAGGCTATGAATCTGGCCGAAACTGCGGGCTGCATGGCTGGACGATCCTCAATCCTTCCAATTCCATGCACCATCGACGTATGAAGCCTGCCAGTTGTGCCCTACAGTTCACATGGGCCCTGCCCCTCACAACTAGTCGAATATGGTATACGGGGGCAAACCTAGTACAGGTTGCTACCTGTGTCGCAAACGGAAGATAAAGGTAGGACGACAGCCAGCAAATCCACCCGATGTCCACTCGTATTGGTGGTATAAGCTATCTGGTGGCTTGTCTTATTCACTACCTGGTTGGATGCGATTGTAGCTAAGCAGCTCCTAGTGTGACGAGGCACATCCTGGATGCCGCAACTGCGCTGTCTACGGAGAGTCATGCCCGGGGTACCGACCAGACACGATCTTCAAGATCGAGACGGGCCAGGTCAAAGGAAGCAGGAAGGGCAACGAGCCTTGTCCCGCCCATGCTGTTCGAGAGAGAGTTCCCGATGGTACCCAACGCATGTCTTCTCTGTCCATATATCAGAATCCTGAGTCCCCATGGGAGGAACGGGCGGTGTGCTTTTTCTTTGACCAATATACTGCTTGTGACAAGCCTGAAGGTGGCAGTCACCTGGGATTTATCCCGAGGTTGTATGCGGGCTGTCGTCGGGGGCCAGGCGCCGTGGAGCCAGCGTCTTCGTGTCTGCGTCTCGCGGTTGATGCTACAGCCTTGCTCACCTTGGGTAACCAGGTCAAGGCGCCCTCGCTGGTCGCACAAGCGAGACACCGGGTTGCTCTGGCGGTGCAGGGACTGCGTCAGGCGTTGGACTCGCCGGTCGAACGGGTGAAGGACGATACCTTTGCAGCCGTGGTCATTCTCGCACTCTTTGAAGATATCTCAGGCGAGCGGAATGGGCTTGCGAGCTCCCACACTGTGGGCTTTGAAGCCCTTATGAAGCTGAGGGGCGAGAGTCTTCTCAACGAGCAGGGGCTAGATATGTTTAAATTTGCATATGTTCACACGGTAGGTTTACATAAACCCTGTACTACATCTACACTTACAATCAGTGGTTTCCAGCCTTCGGGGGCCATGCTGACCACTGTACGATTTGCAGCGCATTGAAGCTATACTTCTGCGGCAGAAGCCACGCTTCAGTACTCATGATCTTGTCATGCGTCTTGATCCTGCCGATCCGTTACAACGGCTGATAATGGTGGTGAACGAGCTTGATCCAATGTCCCTCGAGAACCCCCTGGCTTCAGACACCACCGACCCTGGAGTCATCACCACTCTTGCCTCCAGGATAGAGATTTATAGGGCCCTGGACTCCGAATTAGCAGAGTGGAGTCGAAGCCTGCCGACCAGCTGGCTCCCTCACGCTTGCCGGTCGCATACCGGCGACGATGTCTTGACCTACCAAGAGCGATTCTCGGCGTCGATCTGGTCCTACTATCATGCCCTTCGCATATTGCTGCAGGCGACGATACTCGAATTCCTTCAGACATTGACCTCGCTTGTGCCTTCGAGCGGTATCCAGCGAGAAGCCGTCCGACAGGAAGCCGAGGGATCACGGTTGATCCGAAGCTTAATCGGCGATACGTGCCGTGCGGTCCCGTTCTCGTTCGGGGCGATCGATCAGCTGGGCAACCCAGTGGCTTCGCAGGGGGAATCGCAGATTCGGGCCTTCAACGTCTACCATATGATGTGGCCTCTGTGGTATATCTTGACATGCGGACATGCGACGCCAGCCCAGGCCCAGCAGATCCGGCGAGCGCTGGCGGAAAAGGGTTCCGAGGTCGGCATCAAGTTGGCCCTTGTGCTTGCTGGTGAGGGGGGTCAAGGCATGATGCCTTTGATGTTTGGATCTTTTGCGCCGAGTAGTGGGCCGCGCCTTGCTCTGGAGTATTCGTAAAGGATTGATGGTCAATCCTTCCAATTGGATTTACTAGAGTATGCAGGATGAAGTTTATATACTTCTATTGCAAGAGTGGCTGCTTGATGTACAAATAGCTTATGATGTATCAACTCCTCTTAAAGAACAAAGTGTATCAATGATTATATCCAATTATATCTTCAGCATACAACTTCTCAGACTGAGTGGATAGATACTATACACAGTATGCACGTAGTAGACAAGGGGAATGTTCCCCTTCCGGCAAGCCACGGATAACTTTGTTATCTCAACTGTACTGACTGACGTCATGACCATAGGATCCCGCAACCACTCACGGCAGTTTGTGAACAACGAACGAAGAGCAGAAGAAGAATGGGCTATGGAATAAGACCTTCATGCTCGATCTGGCAAGTCAATTCGATACCAATTCAGGGACTAACAACTAACTATCATTCGGCTGCTCGGATGGTTCCAGCGCACAGGATAAGCCGTCGCCATGCCGGTTTAGCCGATCTGGTTACAGCAGCCAGTGCAGTGTGCCTGATTCGACTGACTGACTTCATGGCCGCTGGCTGCTGGCTGCACTGACGACATGTTACCCTCCACAGTCCAGGTATCTATCTTTAGGAGCTAGTTCTGGCCCGCATGAGCTTATAAGCCGGCTGCTCCTCCTTTCAACTGAGGGAATCGTTCTCTAAATTTGATACCCTTCTTCGATTGCTGCTTGTTTCTCTTTCCTCTCCCCCTCTCTGGAGTTGGTTTGGTGCTTTTGTAGATAGAACAAACGTTTCACACTCACTCACGCTGCTCCTTCAAAACACCCACCCTCCTACCTATCTCATAAACCGCACACAATCATGTCAATGGCTACGCAAGACCGCAAACTTCCCTTTGGGAGGATTGAGCCCAATTCGGCCAAATATTTCGCTAGCTGTACGCTGGGTGGCATTATCGGTAGGTTTCCCTCATCCTCAGCTTGATCCTCGCAAGGAAGCTAACTTGTTCGCCTGCTCTGTAGCTTGTGGTGAGTAATTCCAACCCAATCAAACCCGTATCCGAGTCGCCTCTCCAAGGGCATTCTTGAGGAGAACACATCTTGACACAATTACTACTACAGGCCCAACCCACACCGCAGTGACTCCGCTCGACCTGGTCAAATGTCGCCGCCAGGTCGACCCGAAGATCTACACCTCCAACCTCTCGGCGTGGCGCTCGATCATGGCCAAGGAAGGCGTGCGCGGGGTCTTCTTCGGCTGGACGCCGACCTTCCTGGGCTACTCGCTGCAGGGCGCCGGCAAGTACGGCTTCTACGAGTACTTCAAGTACCTGTACGGCGACCGGCTCTTCCCCAACACCAACCGCACTGTCGTCTACCTGGGCGCAAGCGCCTCGGCCGAGTTCTTCGCGGACATGATGCTGTGCCCGATGGAGGCGATCAAGGTGCGCATGCAGACCACCCTGCCGCCGTTCGCGCACAGCCTGCGCGAGGGCTGGGGCAGGATCACCGCCAAGGAGGGTATGGCCGGCCTGTACAAGGGCCTGTATCCGCTGTGGGCGCGACAGATCCCCTACACGATGACCAAGTTCGCCACCTTCGAGGAGACCGTCAGCATGCTCTACAAGACGATCGGCAAGCCCAAGGAGCAGTGCTCCGGGTTGCAGCAGACCGGGGTCAGTTTCCTGGGCGGGTACATAGCGGGCATCTTCTGCGCGATCGTCAGTCATCCCGCGGATGTGATGGTCAGTAAGCTGAATGCGGATCGGAAAGGTAAGCTCTATTTTGCCCCATCTCTGAGACTATGGGCCTTGGCTGTGGGTCGTTAATTCTCAGGGCTAACGTGGTATAATTCTACAGCTGGTGAGGGTGCGATGACGGCCGTGTCGCGCATCTATAGCAACATCGGATTCTCCGGCTTGTGGAATGGCTTGCCGGTCAGAATTGTCATGCTCGGTACGCTGACTGGATTCCAGTGGCTGATGTGAGTATCTCCTTTGTTGTTTCCGGAGCTCAATGGCTGACGCTGGATGCAGTTATGATTCATTCAAGGTGTTCTGTGGGTTGCCGACGACTGGTGGACATTAATGGAGTTGGTCGTAAAGTATTCTGATGAATAGAGTTGATTTGTTTGTATGTAATTTCACCATAGTTAGGAGTTCGGTGGATAATGGGATATCGTTTGACAAAGGAGTGGTTCTGCGATAGGAATGAATGAATGTACAGGTGAAATAGTAGTCCGTAGATAGTCAACGCTGACCGCTCTGGACTGTCGGCCGGCAGAATTACCGCGGCGATCTCAACTTCCTCTTCCTTTCGCTTCGTCCTCAGCTCTCAACCTCGTCCATTGCCAGCTCTCTTCCATCTTCTTTTCCGTGGAATTTCTCGCTCGGATCTGCTTTGTGTGGTACAGCAAAAATCAACTTCTCACTTCATTGGCCCACCATCATCAGCAACACACGTTAATTGTTCGCGCCATCAGGGCAGAGAGATCGAAGCCATCGGATTCGCATTGCCAGGAACACATTCAGCGGCTTCCGGAGCCCCTTGACCAGACTTTTGTCAGTCTTCTTGACTATTACCTCCGACTAAAGCGACACCGTCTCCAGCAGCTTTATCATCCAATTTCACAATCGCCAGATTTTATCAGCGATCCGGTCTCCGACATCCACTGTCCCGTACAGCCTACAGAAGCATCTCCGTCCAGACAACCACCCGCAATCAACCTCTCTCATCCCTCCCCCCCCCCCCCCCCGACCATCATGGAAGACACAACATCCACCACAATCCGCCCCTCAGCGGCTACCACCAACCCTCCCAGCGTCGAGAACGCCTACAAGCGCAAATGCCTTGCCCTGAAGAAGCGCCTCAACGAGATCGAGGAAGAGAACGAACAGATGCGCGTCCGCAACAGGCGCGGCTGGCAGTACATCCAGAAGATGCGCCTGGAGTCGTGCATCTTGCTCGAGCGCCTGGCCAAGGTCACCGGCATGACCGAGGAGGCGTCCTCGCAGGCAGGGGCCGCCGCCAACCCGGAACTCCGGGCCCGCGCCGTCGCGCTGATGAGCAACGCCTCGGCGTTGAATGGGCTGGGTGCATCGTCGGAGGGCAAGAATGGGGCCGCTGGCGGCGGCGGCGGCGCGTATCTGGATGATGAGACAGAGGGGAGTTCAGATGAGCAGCCTCCTACTGTGAGTTTTATCCTTCTTTTTTTCTGTTTTTTTCCTGGGGCGGTGGCTTCACTCTGACGGGCTCCCGTGGAATGAAGACTCCGTGTTGGGTCAGTGTGTTCACCAAAAAGACAATTGACTAAATCCGCTTTGAATAGCCCCAAGAACGACCTCTCCGCGTCAAACGATCCCGAAAATCCAACCTCCCCGACGGCGTCGGCGCCGACGATGAAGGCAGCACCGCCGCCGCCGGAGCTGCCAGTAACAATGCTGCCGACAACGGCGACAACAACACCGACAACAACGGCAACCTGCCCCGGCTGGCCCCCGCCCCGTCCCAGGACGATCTGAGCTCCACATTTCGGCTTGGGGCCGGTCAGCACACAGAATCCGATGAGCGCGGCACGAGTCAGAATCCGGAATCCGGCTCGAGAACCCGTCGAGCTTCTAATGCTGCTGCTGCTGCTGCCGCGGCGGATGATGATGATGACGACGCCGCAGCCGAGGGAGAAGAGAACGAGAACGAGGCTGGTGACGCATCAGTGGAACCCTCCTCAACGCCGATGGATTTGGATGTCAAGGAACCGAAGGAGGAGAGCTAGGGACAAGCTATCCTATATTCTCCTTCTTCTTCTTCTTCTTCTTCTTCCTCCTTTCCAATTCAAATTCATCTTTACAAGTTTCCTTATTTTTTTGACGGGTCTCGAGTATCTCCATCTCCACACTCCTCCCCTTTCCTCTAATTGTATAAACAAGGGCTACGGAGCGGGAGACAATTCACAAAACAAAGTTCAAAAGACCATCGTCCATGCCTTATATCTTCTTCTCTTCTGACCGACTGGTGACCTGAAAACTGTTTTTATTTGCTTTGTGGGTGTTAAACTTGCACGAAACCATGTGATTTTGGAATTGGGGGAAACTGGAGCTTTTTTTTTTTCGTGCTGGGTTGTTTTACCTTCTGTGTCGGCTTTTTAAACCTCTTACCTATCTTACCTATCTTACCTATCTACCTACTTACCTTACCCGCTTCTTGCCTGATAGATTATCCTCTTTCTTGCTCTATTGGGGGTGCATACTTCTCTTGTCACAGCGTTTGCTGGACGTGTGCCATAATTATTAGAGACTGGGTGGATGATCCACCACCTGCACATGAAGTAACCATCTTGTCTCGGATTGGATTCGAGTGTAGACTGACAGCAGTTCAAGTGATTACTTTGTTTTACAAATATAAGGTTGACAGAGGAGTACGTATGGAACTCGGGCTGCTGGCGGGCTTTGGCTTTGCTGGAACTAGGTCCAGGTGCCCTAAATCAGCCATGCCCACGGGCGAGAGGCTTCCACCCTCCAGCAGGCTAGCTACTATATCTACCAAACTTGGAAGGCACTCATTACTGAGGTGCAGGGAGCTGAGCACAACATCACCATTAGTAGTGAACCCATCCCCACCCCCACAAGAACAAAATACAGTACAGGGTACAGTCACCATCCCGACTCACCAACATTTTACTGAACAACAAGGGTCAATCAATTCACTTTGATTTTCGCAACGCACACAATAGACACAGAACACAACTAAAGCAAGGAACGCTAGTTAAGGCCCCGGGCTATGCATGGAAAACATAATTTCCGATCTGATGCAAGAAACTTTGACTGACTCCCCTCCCCGTTGTAAGGTCGAACAACCTCAAAGAAATCAAGATTACAACACATGTCCCCCCCATCGTATCCCCCCTCTTCGCGAAACCCCTGTAGCGCCTGAAGCAAGACACACCCACAAAGAAAAAGTCCGCCTGGAACAGTAAAAAAATGCAGATCATGAAGTCCCTTGGGATTCCAATGAGATGAGAGCGAAGCAATAAGCAATCAGGAAAATCTTGGTTATTGAAACAATGAAGATCTCTCAGAAGAAAAAGGAAGCCCTGTTCCTGACGCCGGAGGAAGATTAAAAAAACAGAAGACACGCTTTATTCCACGCCGGCGTAGAGGTCGACTAGAATATTAATGGCCGCGACGAGGATTTCGGCGGCGATGAGAACGATAACTGGAAAAAGGGATTGAGTTAGAGAGGTATACAACCGCAGAACCAAGAGAGGGAGACGTACCGATCCATTCGAGATACTCACCATGGCGGTGAGTTAATTGATCCTTTAGAACGGCAAGCAGATCCGCAATGACGTCTAACCGCTCCGTCAAGAGACTCACTCGCTGGTCCATCTCAAGGTAACTCCGCACGGCCTGGTACACAGGCTCCAGTTGGGGCTCTGCCCACATCAGTTCCGGACTGTCGAGGACGGAGCCTTGAAGGTGGATGTTGATTCGCAGGATGAAGAGCTCTCCGACCTGCATGTTGATCTGGCGCCGAGTGAGATTCACGCTGCCGGTCTGGGCGATCTGGGCCGGGAGTGGTGCGGTGTTGGAGATCGTCTCGGAGACGAGATCTTCGAACAGGGATGTCTTGACGGACTGAGCGAGAGCATGGGAGATGGCGAGCTTGATCATGTAATTCCGCGGGTCACGGAGGGAGATGAAATCATTGTAGATCCGGGCTTGGTATTCGCGCGCATAATAGAAGTTGAAGTTCTCGACCTGCGTGTCTTCGGGACTCAGAATGGAGGTTGCGAATTTGGAGATATCGGATAAAAATCGTGACTCGTGCGCGGGCGACATGCCCCAAATTACCACGGTGCCGTAGTCGAAGAGGAACACCTCCGGGGTGTGGACTTTGGTGTCGAAGTCAGGGGCAGCTTCGATTTGGGATGCCGATGTGGTGGAATCGACCACGGCGCTTTCATGGTCATCTTGTTGTTGGTGCGATTCCGAATCTCTCAGGTCGATGAGATCTTCCCGTCGGGTGTTGGTGTTGTCTTGCACTTCCACAACACTATCCGAGTACCGGCGTTCTCCAGCAGGACGTATCGGGGGTTGGGATTGCGGCGAATGCAACCCGTTGCTGGGAAGATTCCATGTGCCTCGCTGCTTTGCTTCATAGTCGTAGTCATATGGCGAGTACACGCACTCATCGTAGAGCTTCGGGTTGGCTCCGCGGGTCTTTGCGCGGGACTTGAGAAACCGCACCACCCCCTCCAGACGATACGAATTGGCCGTGCAGTAGGCTGTGACGCGGGGCAGTCGCTCTCGATCCGCCTTTCCCAGACTTGCAGCGTGACTACGGGCGGTCGGTTCTTTGATGCGGGCGATCTGCGAGTAGACATCGGATGGAAAGTCGCCGTCGGCGAGTTCTTCTTCGGTCACGGGATCGGGCAGTAATTTAAGCTTCTGTGCGTTCTTTGTCGTTCGCTGCGGTCCGACCTTGGGGGCTGTCGCGAACGGGGCACCGGCGGTGCTGTAAGGTGCTCCATGGCTATTGCGGCGGCGGAGCTTGCTATTTAAGGCGGACAAGCCGGTCGGTCGCGGTGGGCCAGCGCTCTGGGAATTGGATGCAGGGTAAGAACCAGAATGAAGCGGTCTGAAGCTCGGATCTGAGGCGGTAGTATCGTGATATGTGCTGACAGTGGCCAATGGGTTGAATGTCACCGTTCGAGAGGCTCGGTTTCCTCGTGGTGACGTATTGGTGGAGGAAGGCGGCTGATGTTGGGGGAGGAGGGGGGAAGACTCTGTGATGGAAACCATGGTGGGTAATCGAGAGGGAAATTCAGAATGCTGCACAGAGCAGATTCGGTTGAATTGAGTAACAATCGGGGGGCAGGCACGTCACCGAGGATGGTGGGGAGGCCGTGGTAAAGGGAAAGAAAAGCGAAAATGAAGTCTGAGGACGGGATGGGGATGGCAGATCCAAGAGGGAGAGTAGCTCCAAGTCCACCGGGCAAGCTTCGTCCTCCTTCCCTTTCTTTGCCTTTCCTTCCTCCTGCTCCGCACGTGCGCCCGCCCAACACTGCCATTTCTTCCCCTTCGACACCTCGCGTCGCCCACGCAGTCCTGCCGATTCTTTGAGTAGAAAGACTAGTAAGTGGAGGTCTGCAGTCAACGGTCATATGTTCGCGTCTTGTTAAAAGCAATTATACTCTGCATTGAAGCGAGAAAAAAGAAAGCATACATTACGAGGTGGGGTTCCAGCAGCTTCGTCGAGCTTGACCTGCAGATCGGGACTGCGCATATCGTGGATGATCGAGCATTTCTCATGTGGTATCATTCTGAGTTAGAGAACTAGAAACCCTCCGTGGACTCTGTCTTGCATGAAGATCCGAAAGCCTCGACTCAATATGGACTATGCGAAGAAACATAAAGCGCCCGAAAGTCATCGCTGGAGACCCGAGCTCAAGCCAACATGTAGACAGGAAATAGATACAGGATATACTTTTGATTTCATTAAAAATCCCTACTACGAGACGGAGTTAAGCGCGCCAAAGACCTGCTATTTGCGCACAAACCCCGAGGAACCGCCAGCCGTTCTTCTCATCCCGTTGACCTTGGCCGTACTGCGAGCTGCACCCAACCAGGCTTGTCTCGCGTTCTGGCTGCTCTTCGAGGACTTGGGGGGAAGTGCAGTCTTCGACTTCTTCCGTGATACATCTCCATCCAACACACGGATCGTGACGTCGCCCATCTGCAAATCCTTCGGGGCCTTCTCCTTCTTGTCCAGGAACCTCATCTTGGTTGGCTTGGGCCGCACAATCTCCATTTCTTCGGCGGGAGGAGTCGGTGGGCGAGCGTCGGGGGCGGCATTCAGGATATCGTCCGGGAGGAGAGCGGGGAGCGCAGACCTCCGGGCACTTTCTGTCGTGGTACCCTGAAGGGTCTCGGTGCTTTCTGATAGCTGATCCTCGGCCTCTCGTTTCTTGTTGGCCGACTTCGCCTGGAGCTTGCGCAGATCGTCGAGTTGTTTTCTCTTGTCTCGTTTCAATTGCTCCTCTCTGTGCCCATAGTTAGTAATGAGTTTCAAGTGCCATCAAAACACATGAAAGAAGAATACAAACATTTGCTTAGCCCTCTCCTGTCTCTTCGCCTCCATCCGAATCTTGGACAGTTGCGCGGAGTTATCAACAGCCTCAGGAGCCTCGTCATCACTGCTATCCTCCTCCTCATCCGCATCCACGCCCTGCGGCGTCTCCACAATTTCCTCCTCCATCTCAGGCACTTCCGGCTCTTCGCTATCGAATCGGAAATGCTTCTTTTTGGCGGCCGGGGGAGCAGCAGCAGCAACTGGCGTCCCCTCCTGAACCTCACTATCACTATCTTCCTCCACCATTTTCGCCTTCTTATTGCTAGTAGTCGTCGTCGTCGTCGTCGTCGTGGTAGCCATCTTGTCGTCCTCTGATTCTTGCACGTCCTCTAGACTGCTGCTGCCCCGCTTTCGCCGTTTGCTGTTTTTCTGCGTCTTGGAAGAGGTGGTGTTTGGCTCGGATTTGCGCTTTCCGTTGATCGTCGTTTTTTCAATCGAGCTTGCCCCAACTTCAGGCTCCGCGGACTGCTCGGCGGTGAATTTCCGCCGTCTAGTGGCTGTGACCATCTTCTTCGGCGTAATAACGGCGGCGCTAGTAACGCTGTCCGAGGCGAAATTTTTGGGAAGTGTGCTTTTTCCGTTGGAGTCCGTCGATCGATTGAATAGCCCCTTTGCTGCGGTCATAAACTGCGCAAACATTTAAAGGTTGAGATAAAGAAAAAAAAATTCCCCCGGATCTGCTCTCCCAGTTGTTTTGCATGGAGAAATGTTATTGCGTGTTGCGCAAACCCTCTTTTCCGGAGCGTAAAAAGAAGCATTCGAAAATTGTAGCGGCGAATTGGTTTATCCGGCGGCGAGAGGTGGATCGAGAACGTAAATGTGGGTCCCCGCTTCTTGTATACTGTACGGGCGAGTATATCAACGAGTATAAGCAAGGTTAATTACAACAGGAACTACACATGGATTAAAATAGTTTACAGTTGTTTCGATATGTCAAATTCAATTGAAGCTGATATAGTATCCACTTTTCGGGTATCCTGGACAACTGTAAACCTTGCAATGCATGAGCTGTGAAACTCGTAAGACAATTCCACAGGACAAGCACACCATCGAGAACGCCAAACCATGCTGTGTATGTGTATAGTATCAGTAGTATGTGCATCAGAAACTCCCCTCCAAACTCCCTCAGACCATGAGAACCCAAACAAGCCACTCTCGCAATGTGAACCACAAGACAACGCAGCTGGGCAAATCTTCACCGAGCACCCACCATCTGCTTCCGCTCCAACAGCTCCTCCTTCGCAGCCAGAAAGTCATCCTCGCCGATCTCACTCGCCTCATCCCAGAACCGGCCATGCTCGTCGCCATCATCCCCGCTGACCGTCCACATACTCTCCCGCAGCCGCTTGTTGCGCTCGCGGTCCTCCTCAATGCGCTGCTCGATCTGCCGCTTGTCCACCCTCCCGCGCGAGCCCCGCGGCGTCGCACCCTTGGCCCGCGCCGCCCCTGCCGCCCCTGCCGCATCTCCACCCTTGGCGCCTTCTTCCTCCTCCCCCTCCAGATCCAAATGGGCCGGGTGCGTCTCGCGCTCCTTTAGGAAGGCATCGATCTCCGCCACCGTCGCCGCGGGGAGGATCTCCTTGGTCTGCAGCCCGTTCAAGACGCGGCGGACGTGCTTGACGTTCGCGGCCCCGGAGCCGTCGGGCGGCGCGACGGCGTCGACAATCCGGATGATGTCGCGCTGGATCATGCGGACGTAGGGCGCGTGATCTTCCCGCGTGGCCATCTCGCAGAAATGCTCGACGAAGTACATGATGTTTGCTCGGTTGTTCATGTTGTTCTAGATATTTGCGAAAAGAGTCAGGATTTGTGTGCAGACAGAGCAGAGGGAAGAGTGAGGCGCGGGGGGCAAGGGCTGACGTACTCGCTCTAATTGTTCGAGAATGCACGAGTGAAGATCCTCATCCATGTCGCGATACTTGAGCGCATAGTGCGCGGCTTTCTGGGAGGAGGTGACCGAGGCATTCAGGTGTTGCAGCTGCGCCGTGAAGCGCATCCGCACTTCAAAGGGATCGACCATCATGGTTGCGGATGGGTGGAGGCCCAGATACCTCTGGCCGGGGTGGTGGTTATGGGAATTGAAGATGGAAGAAAGGGAGTTTGTTGCTCGGGCTGGCTCGTGTATGGAGCATGTAAATTCAAGCTTGGCTGCCAGATTAAATGAAGACGCGCGTGGTGACGATGTTCGACATCTGCCGCTTGCCACCGCCCCGTCATTGCTGCCCTTATTCACACCGCTTTTGGGTCCTACTGAACTATATATATCACCCGTTTCTGGAGTTTAACAGGTGGCTGACAAGTGACTGGAGGATCGATCTGGCTGTGAAGATACAGAAATTTCCGAATAAACCAAGTACTTAGTAGTATTGAGAGATATAGTGCATCTGGGGTATAAAGTTTTGAGCCTTAGAGGTAAAGCATGTTCACTGGAGTCAGTGAATGCCTCAAGCCGCAGGAGAGGCAGAGGACCACACCAATCATGAAAAAGTCTAAGATTACAGCAACATGTGCAGAGAAGTATTCAAAAGATAGATAGATACTTAAGCCCAGCTCCCTCCATAAAGCGAAGTCACATATCATGTAGATCATTGCGCCCGGTGTTTTCCTGCATCATTTTACAGAGATTGCCGTCGCTCAATGGAGCTGGCAAGACTTGTGCCGTCATCATCACCCAGTAAGCCAACTTCCTCCGCGGCACTTGGCTGAGTGAAGGTTCGCTCAAGTAGGGTTTCGTCCTTGTGGGAGCTTGACCCGCTGACTATCGACCAAACATCCTTCTTGGTGAGCAGGCCCTGCAGGACACCCCTGTCGGCAAATAGAACGTACCGCAGACCGAGTCGTTGGAACATTCGTAGAACAATGAGAAAGGTGGTGTTGCTGTTGAGCGTGATCGGCGTTTGGTCCATCCATGGCCTCAGATCCAGGGTCTCGCTTGGGTCTGCAAATGGTTGGTGCGTAAAGAACACCTGCGCCGTGCTGGATAATTCAGTATCGGAAGGTGACGCTGCGTACTTCAGCGCGTAGGAAAGCTCGTTGCGTGAGATGTAGCCCAGAAGAACAGGATTCGACATGTCTGTAACAACCGGATATCCACGGTAGGACGTGGTCAGGAGAAGATTGCGGAGGGTGTCGATCGTATGCCCAACGGCAGTGATGACTGTCAGGTCATCAATGGACGTCATTACTTTTTGCGCAGACACATCGGGTGGAGCGGTGTCATCGCGATGATCAAGGAACGGATATTCCTTGAGTTGGATCCACGACTCGTAGATACCACGCTTCCCGAAGATATCACCACACCATTTGGACAGCATGACTGCAATCATGATGGGAATGACGTAGGTTAGAGCACCTGTGAGTTCGAACATGATGACCACAATCGACACGGTCATTCTGGTGGCGCCGCCAAGGGCTGAAGCTGCTCCAATGATAGCATATATCCCTGGAGTCACGCATTGTACATCCGGCTCGCAACTGCCAAACAGGAAGAATTTAGGGAAAGCTTGCTGCCACATCCGAAAGACGATGCCGAGAGCCCGGCCATAGAGAGCGCCAATGGCAATTGAGGGAAGGATTATGCCAGCAGGGATGTCCAACCCAAAGGTAATCGATGCGAGGAAAAAGCCAAGAATGGCAGCTCCCAGCAGAAGAGCAACCGTACTAGCCGATACCGCACCGACCTTACAGAAGCCGAACGGATCTTCAGTCCCGGTGCTACATTCCGCAAATAGAGAATGCACGAGCTCCGAGTTCTGAGCTTTCATGAAAAGATTTGGAAAGTTGATCAATGAGCTCAGAAGAGCTACAGCTGATACCTCCAGAATTGGTCGGGGGACACTTAGGGAACGCCGCCAATTGGCAACCTTCATGTTCAGTCGGATGAAAAAGGCTCCATAAAGACCTCCGACGATACCAAGTATGACGAATGGGATAATTTCGAAGCGGTGCCACCCATGCGTGTACTTGACCTGGTAGAGAACTATATTGCCGGTGCGGAATGGGTCGAGCGCATGCAAGGTCACAGAGGCAACCATGGCACATACGAAGCTCTGCCACATAGTCTTGTCGGGAAAGTAATAGCTTAGTTGCTATCCAGTCAAAGTTAGCCCGGCTCCTCACCAGAGAATTGTTAACCCACCTCCAAGCTAAATAGAACACCTCCGATGGGCGCTCCGAAGGCCACAGAAATACCGGCCGCGGCGGCAGCAGAAAGGACCTCTCGTTTCCTCGCTACACGATTAGCATATATTGACTAATGGTCTTATGATGTAAGTACCTTCGTTGCGATTGAGACTATGAAATGGCTTCATTATCAAACTCGCACAGCAACACGCGACATGGACAAGAGGTCCCTCTTTGCCAAGCCACATACCAGATGCGACAGCCAAGCACTGCTCTAAATCAGCAAGGGTTCTAGATCATAGGTTCAACATATACCTACCAAGCCTAAAGATTTGATAGCAAGAGTCCAAGGCCCCATGAAGTGTCTAATGACAAAACCGCCAAGAACGGTCTTGATCTCGGGGATACCACTGTGCTTAGCATATATGGCGTATGTCCTGACTAGGACACATGCGCAGACGGCGAAGAACATCTGTGAATTGCGTTAGCATCTCACCGCAACGTCTAGCAACAAGGGTCAGTACAGAGAAGAGAATATAAAAAACATATTCAACGGCATAGCCGCCACCACGTGAAGTAACCCCTAGGGCCTTTCTCCAAGGCGTCCAATCCAAACAATTATTAATGTCTAGCCAGCAAGCCACGTTAGTATCATTGGTCTGAGCGTCTACCGAATAGAACCGACTCACCATCATGCCCCCAGCAGCAGAAGCTCCGATTCAAATAGAACCTACCTCCTCCTGCCCCGTTCCTACAATAGCCAGTTTTGAGATCGGCTAGCCAGTCACTTGAGACATCGATGCAGGCGGCGATGATGCCAACCAGAATTCCCGTCGCGATCAACACAATCCAAACATTGCTTGCATCTAGTATTTTGCGCGTATATCCAACAATTCCCTGTCCATTTGCGTAGAGTAGTCGTTTTCTTTGTCGCTCTTTTGTGTATTCAAAAATCCAATCGATCGCCGTAAGGTCGTCATATCCTACCCGTCTACCTGGTCCCTCCACATACCAATCCAGAAAGCCGGAATCCTTGTGATTCACATTTCCGTTGCTGTTCGAAACGTCGCGCGACGATAGTGAGTGGCCGTTCGGAAGCTGTCTGTCGCGATTCGGAGAGCCGAAGCCCGTGTCTCCTGTCGATTCGCCAGGAAAAAGGCGCGAGAGGCTGAACCTGGATCGCTGTTTCTGTTTTCGTTTGAAGGATATTCTACATGGTCATGATATTAGCTCAAAGGAGCGGAGCAGATAGTTCCCAGGACTTACGGTTCGCGTAAGCCTCCGCTTAAAGAAGCACGGGAGCTCTGTAGGTAGGTGTCGCTATTCGGCGGTTCGCTCTGAGGGCTTGGATCATCGCTATACGATTGCGAAGGAGATGCCTGAGCCTCTATAACTGACCCAGCATGTGGTAAAGACATTGCGATGCATAAAGTAGAAAGATTGTAGCTGCGATCTCAGTTCGCATTGCAACGAGCCATGCTGTAAGGTTGGCGATTTCCCCTGCGATATCCGTGCTCCGATTAGTTCCCGATAAGTGTTTCTATTGTCGGACTTCTGATCTCACCTCCGTGGCTGGGGCGAGGGCGGTGAGAGTCGTCAGAGTGGGGCCAAGGCGGAAATCCCGCGGCAGAAAATGATCGCGAGAAAAAAAAAGTGCTGCAATCCGACGAAGTTTATATCCTCCTCCTCCCTAATTGAATCCCATAACCAGAGTTCCTTTGGCGGTAGGGCTCAGCATGGACGCTAGACCTGCCTACGAGGGGACTCTTGACGAGTCCCGCCTATTTGCGAAGCTTCCGAATGAGATTGCGGAACTCATTCACACAGCTTCTGGGACCCAATACCTGAATGCGCTTGCGGTTGGCGCATTGAGGCCCGGATGTACAGAAGGCTTCTTTTGCCTGTACGAACCGATCTTTGTGGACTTGGCAGCGCGGTGGCTCTTATCCGACTCTCAGCTAGATCAAATCGATATCCTTTCCGCATTCTCTCGAGTACTACCGTTCGCGCCAAACCTCCGACCTTTTGCAAGCCAATATGCCATTGCTCGGGCTGGACCTCTATCAGCTTTGGCTGCGTGTGATGAGCAAACCCTTTCACAAATAAACGATGCCACCATCCGGAGCCTCTTGTTAGCGATCTTCAGGCTTCTTTCCTACGACCCTGAAGTCTTCTCAAAGGCTGTATCGCCCTCTCAGCTTCAATCGCTATTCCAACACCGCGACCGATCCGTTAGATACCTCTCCATACGATGCTTCGCCCTATACATGCGAGCAGCGGATGCTGCTCTGGAGGAATTAACCAAAACTCATTTTGCAGACGATATCGTCGAGGGCGAATGGGAGGGGACAACAATCGACTACCGGTGTCTTGGCTTGTGGGAAGAACGTCGGTGGAACACATTGGAGAAGCAGGTTCAGCTCGCGAGGTCGAACCGGTCTACTCCCGATACTCTTTCACAGATTGAGAAACTTCGAGAATATTTCACTTCTAGAACCGCCGAAATCTGCGGAGTGTTGGTCCCACGACAAAATAATACTTCTTCTCAACCGTCCTCGATTGTGAAAACGCCGACCGCCGTTGAAAACCTGCGGAAAATCGCGACAGCACTAATATCCGCTAGGCCTATGTTGCTGGTTGGTTTACCAAACTCGGGGAAAACGACATTGATCAACGATGTCGCCGCAACCATGGGCCAGGCGGAGACGATGGTCACGCTACACTTGAATGAACAGACCGATGCAAAGAGTCTTTTGGGAATGTATTCGACCTCACCAGCTACAGGCTCTTTCGCCTGGCAACCCGGTGTTTTGACCAAGGCGGCAAGGGAAGGCCGTTGGATCCTGATCGAAGATTTAGATCGCGCGCCTTCCGAAGTCATTGGCCTTATTCTTCCTATCATCGAGCGGGGAGAGTTGACCATAGCTAGCAGGAAGGAAAGAATCAAATGCGCAGAAGGCTTCAAGATCATTGCGACCATGAAGTCTTCATACAACATTGCAGGTGAAGAAATTGCCCCGAGCACCAACATCCTAGGAAGCAGGTTGTGGCAACGTGTGCAGATCGACTCTCTCGCGATCGACGAAATTCGAG